GTTGCCCAGGTGGGTCTCGAACCCATGGGCTCAGGCAATCCACTCACCTCGGCCTCCCAAGGCGCAGGATTACAGGCTGAGCCTGTATTTACCTTGTTAATCTAGATGACTTGTTTGTATTACTATGTTTTGGTTTTTCTAGTTTTAGCCAATAAACTGTCTTCCCACCATGGGAGATGAAAAATTAAGCTCCATTTCCTTCAACTATCTCCCTCATACACACATACACAACTGGTTAAATACAGTACAAGAAATAAAAGATTACATGCAATTCTCACCACCATAAGTATGAAAATCCTAAATAAAATATTAGCAAAAAGAATCCAGAAATTTGTAAAAAGGATACTACATCATGGTCATGTTGCTTTTATTCCAGAAACAAAAAATTGGTTGACCAGGCATGGTGGTATGTGCCTGCAGTCCCCGCTACTCAGGAGGCTAAAGCCAGAGTATCGCTTGAGTCCAGGAGCTCGAGGCTGCAGTGCACAATGATCACAACTGTGAATAGCCACTGCACTCTGGCAACATAGTGAGACCTCATCTCTTTAAAAAAAATAAAAATAAAAGGTTGGGCTCGGTGGCTTAGCCTGTAATCCCAGTACTTTGGGAGACCAAGGTGAGTGGATTGCCTGAGCCAGCGGGTTAGAGACCAGCCTGGGCAACTTGGTGAGACTCTCTACAATAAATCAAAAATTAGCCAGGTGTGGAAGCATGCGCCAGTAGTTTCAGCTACCTGGAAGGCTGAGGTGGAAGGATTGCTAGAGCCCAGCAGGTCGATGCTGGGTGGCCATGAGTGTGCCACTGCACTCCACCCTGGGCCACAGAATGAGACTCCAACTCAAAAAAAAAAAAGCAGCCATAAAGAAGGACAAAATCATGAACTTCACAGCAACTTGGATGGACCTAGAATCTGTAATGCTGAGTGATCCATCACAGAAACAAAGAACTGAGTATCAATGTTCTCATTCATAAGTGGACCTTGAACAATTATCATAATACTGTAAGAAAAGGAGTTGCGGTCGGGCTCGGTTCCTCAGCCTGTAATCCCAGTGCTTTGGCAGACTGAGGTGAGTGGATTGCCTGAGCCCGCGGGTTTGAGACCGCCTGGGCAACTTGGTGAGACCTCATCTCTACAATAGATCAAAATGAGCTTGGCGTGGTAGCGCGCGCCTGTAGTTCCAGCTACTTGGAAGGCTGAGGCAGAAGGATCGCCGAAGCCCAGCAGGTCAAGGCTGTAGTGGTTGAGAGCGTGCCACTGCACTCCAGTCTGGGTGACAGAGTGAGACTTCAACTCAAAAAAAAAGAAAGAAAGAAAGAAAGAAATGAACAATTGGTTTAATATTAGAAAATCAACTGCAACTCACCATACTAACAGATTAAAGGTGAAAATCATATGATCATTTCAACAGGAGAAAAAAAAAGTTTAGCGGGCCTTGAACAATTATCATAATAATATAAGAAAGGGATTGGCAGAAGTGGGGCACACCTCATCAACAAGGGTACATAATGCATAATGCATAATGAACATTTGTATATCTAACCCTGAATCTTTTAAATTAAAATAAATTAAATTAAATTTCTAAATGGCATGTAAGGAAATGACTAAAAGTCAATGTACTAAAAATCATATTATTAAGGAAACAAAAAGTTCGATGAACTTTAACATCTTTTTCTGTTTAAAAAAACTTAGCAGCCTGAGCCTACGGGTTCGAGACCAGCCTGGGCAACTTGGCAAGACCTCATCGCTATAATAAATAAAAAAAATTAGCCACGTGGTGGCACGCACCTATAGTTCCAGCTACTTGGAAAGCTGAGATGAAGGATTGCCTGAGCCCAGCAGGTCAAGGCTGCGGGGGCTGCAAGTGTGCCAGTGCTCTTAAACCTGGCAACAGAGTGAGATTACAACTAAAAAACAAACAAACAAACAAACAAAAACCTTAGCAAACTAGGAATAGAAGATAAATTAACAGTATCTATTAAAAAAATAGCAAAAATCAGCTGGCTCGGTGGCTCAGCCTGTAATCCCGCGCCTTGGGAGGCTGAGGTGAGTGGATTGCCTGAACCCGCGGGTTCGAGACCCGCCTGGGCAACTTGGTGAGACCTCATCTCTACAATAAATAAAAAATTAGCTGGGCATGGTACCGCGCGCCTGTAATTCCGGCTACTCGGAAGGCTGAGGTGGAAGGATCATCGGAGCGCAGCAGGTGGAGGCTGCGGTGGCCGGAAGCAGCCACTGCACTCCAGTCTGGGCGATAGAGTGAGACTCCAACTCAAAAAAAAAAAAAAAGCAAAAATCAACTTAATAGTTAAACTTTGAATATTTTCCTTCTAAGAGCAAACAAGTATTACAGCTATTTACTTCTATTCAATCCATCAAGTCTTAGTAGTTCTATTTCCAGTATAAATCACCAGTCTACTCACTTCTATCTTCAGTGCCACCCCACAGTTCAAGCTACCATTATCTCTCATGGAGAATATTACTATATCCATCTCACTGGTATCCCTGATTTCACTCTTATCCTCCTACAATCCTTTCTCCATACAGTAGCCAGTTATCTTCTTAA